ATTGTAAATATAGATAGATATAAATATTGCTAGATTGTATTGTAAATATAGATAGATATAAATATTGCTAGATTGTATTTAAATATAGATAGATATAAATATTGCTAGATTGTATTGTAAATATAGATAGATATAAATATTGCTAGATTGTATTGTAAATATATCTAGACATATTATAAATACAGCAACATATAACGTGAATAGACATGTTGCAATTTTACTCATCTTGATGACAGTCTTTAATCTGTTTCTTTTGGTTGAATAAAACACTGACAATTAAAGAATCTCAAAAGTCATTAACTAATTTCTTATCATATTTAACAAATAGTCACATCTCACAATTAGTGTTTAAAACATTATTAATTTCAAGAAAGTACTTTTTATAACTCTTAACACACACACATATACCAAAAACATTATTTGACCAGCAACAAAACAATTCACTAATATTGTGCAAGATGATACTTCAATTGGAATTCATACTGAACAGGGTGTTACAGAATAAAAGGTCAGTATGAAGTGAGAAGTATGCAGGAGGTTTCTTTCAGGTTAAGGAAAAGTACATTCCACTAGTGAAATATGCCAATTTAATAACTCAATAACTCCTGATTTATCATATAAATCTATATCAGCAAAACATAAAAAAGGTATAAAATATACATTCTCACAAGAAAGTGAAGACTAAAATGTAATATACAGTAAATACACATATTATATGCTCCAAGTTTCCTTAAAATGAAATGTCGACAGTTTGCATGAAAAATTCACAAAGAATTGTCTAGTAACTAATAATAAATTGTTTAAGCATAGCCCTAACATGTTCATTTGCTTACCATTCTACTTGTAACCCTTCTCATATTGTAATCTCAAATCAGTAAAGATCTTGAAAAATGGTGTTACCCATAAAGAATTTAGTTTTAATTTTATTGATCTAATATCCAACTTAGCCCCACACTTCTTACTGCAGTTGAAGATGTCTCAATAGCATATGCTTTTTAAAATATGATAGAGAACAGAATGAAAAACAAAACGAAGAATTTTAAAACTTGCAGGACTGAATTGGCAAGTAATGTCTCTAAGCAAAGGTTTTTGTTACTAAAAGTTTACAGGATGACAACAAAAACAGTAGAAAAACAGTAAAAATTGTAAAATAGGGTTTGAATATATGTGTTTTTGGTAGGCATAGAGCACTATAAAAATAATGATAAATAATTAAATATAATACATAATACTACTTTTTGTTCCCTATAAGAGAGTCAAAGTGTGTATGTATCAATGAGCCTACTTCAATTTTTTAAAATACTGCTGAAAAACTATGAGCACAAATAATGTATATTCAGGCTATGAGACATGCACTCTAGATCAAATTTATGTCAGTATGTTACTTCACACTTGCTAAATAACACAGAACACATTAGTTTTCTCTCATAATAAGAAATTAAATTAAACATGAATAGTCTTAAAATTCTACAAGATGCTCCTATTACATGTATGACAAACTTTTTGAGAGTTATCTATTCATATACATATATGATTTTAATAAAGTAGTTTTGAAACTTATGGTAATTCATGACTGTACATTTTCAACAACTTAATAGTTTATTGGCAAAATAAAGAACAATTTCACCATCTAAGTTTGATGACATCACAGTGGAGTCAATTTTCAATAATATATAATTTTGAAAAAAGGGTTTTGATGAGTCATATTTAGCATTGTACAAACTTATAAATATAATGATCTGATTTATACTGATTAACCTAAGCTTTAAAACATACTGCCACAAAACTTTTAAAATACCTACTTACTTTATTTTGAAATATGTGTAATGAGTTCAGTCATGTGCATACCAACCAGTATCATTTTTTGTTTCAAACTGGATATTCTATAAACTTTTATGAATGTAACTCCTCCAATATATGCCTTAAAGATCTACAGTACAAAGAATCATCTATTTTGGAGGACATATTTATTTTACATATTATTGAACCAACTATAGTGAACAGGTTTTACAAGTTACTAAACAAGACAAAAAATATTACTCAATAACTTACATAAAAAATATTGAATATTATCATAGTTGTAAAAATGCCACAAGATTTTAACATTACACACTATGCATAGCTTATTCTTCCAATATATATTAAGCTAACACACACAACTGCACTTCTGACAGAAATGCTTGCATACATTTTAATATTTCTTTACTCCATGCTTACCAATTAAGGATAGAAATAAGTTTAAAACAAAAATAAATTAGCAAGAAGTTAAAAGAAAGAACAACAAGCTATGCCCTACTTGACTTTATGAAAGAAAGAGAAAGAGAAAAAAAAATTCCCACAGTGAATTAGTATTTACAGATGAAAAACAGATAAAGTCTCACCCTTTGGCTCAATGTTCCAAGATTGTTTCTTTGTTTCTTCTTCTTTGGTTGATGTGTGTGTAGTATATTCATCATTTTTGGGGAGTGTTTGAAAATCTCCATGATTAGAAAGATACACTTGAGAGTTATCTGTAGGTGAATGGTAATGGACAACTAGCTCCACATCTGATGTATTTTTGTTCCCTAAAGTTTTGGTTTTAAGTTCTGCTACCTCATTATATTTACAGACATCTTTTTCAGATGAATGAGAAGGCTGGCCTTCTAACAAAGAGCAAGGTAGAAGAGAAGATGGTGTTAATGACAACTGATCTGACAGATCACTAGTTTTTTTGATAGCATTAGTTTCCACTGTAGAAATGGCAGGTTCAACTGAAACAACACCTTTGAGAGTGTGTATTTTTCTTTCAGCATTTCCACAAAAGTCTGCCTTTTTCTTTCTGGAAGAGTTACGTATTAGATGTTTTTCAAGAAATCTATTTCTAATGACTGGAAGACTGCTAAGGACCTTGGAAGTTGTACTTCTGGCTGAATTCCTAATTAATTTAGTGTCAGGAGATCTAATAAAATAATATTCAGTAGAAACAGTATAAACTGGTGGAATGTGAGGGCAATCAGCAAAAAATATTGGAGTTGGTAATTCAAGGTCTGGTGGGAAACCTATGTTTCTAGATTTTTCAACTAATTTGTAACTAGGTTCAGATGTGGTAGCAGGGAGTTGTGAGTATGCCTTAATGTCCTGGCTTTTAACAGGTTCCAGCAAGGACTGGTCCCTGTGAAACTGGTCAGCATTCTGTTCCACTGACTTGGCTAAACAGAGGTTAATCAAAAGTAAAGGAAAATGGAAAAGAATGCAAAAGAAAATGTTAACAGCATGCAGAGAAGAAGAATATAATATGTAAAAGCAAGAGTAATATATCATGCAAAAAATAATAAATATCTCCTTTAGTTCAGATACACACACACACCTATATAAGCAAGTTATTATGAAAGAAATACAACTGTAACTAAGAGAATAATATAGAAATATATTAATGGGAGAAGAAAAAAATCATATTAAAATGAAAATTAGTCTTTAAACTGTTTATTTTAAGATCTGTTTCTTTCATACACATTGTAGTGTCTTATCATTCCATTTTGTAATAAACATGGTGGGGGGAAGTTACTACGCAGTTGCTATTGTAGAGTTGATACTAAAGAAAATATTACAAAGACAATAGAAATTGTGCCCGGCATGGCCAGGTGGTTAGAGCACTCGATTCGCAATCTGCGGGTCGCGGGTTTCGAATCCCCGTCA